CAAATGTCCCTTAAAAATAATAAATAAATAAATATCAATTGTTGGCAATAGCCCGGTTTTTAATTAAAAAGGTGTACGCAAATGCAGAAAATTTTTTAAGTATAGCGATCTGTTAACTTATGCAGTTAGATTATGTATTTATATGTACAATATTTCCATTTATTATAGCACTTACCATGGTTCTTTGATTTAAAAAAAAATTTTTCTATCTGAATATATTTTCAAATTAGGCAATCTTATTGGTAGATTAGTGACTCGTCGGTCACGTGATTTTTTCAAATCCGATAACCTCCCAAACCCGATACAAAACTTATCCACCATGCATACCGGTTTGGAGAGGGCCGACAGTATTTTATATTCTTTGATATATGTTGTAAAAGCTATATAAACCCTAGCTTTTTCCTCTCCTAGTATTTTAGGATTTGTTCTCTACAATTTTTAAGTTAAAAGGATTCTTAGGCATAGAAACCTTAGAATAGCCTATTATTTTAATATTGTACTGTAAATAAATATATCTTAATAAACATATATTTTGCTTTTACTGAAACTATACCGAATCACTCTAGTGAAGTAATATTTTACTTTTACACTACTTCATATCTACTCTGACTCTATATAGATCCCTGTCACCATGTGCTGTGTTGCAAGTGCTATATTTTAAAGCTATAGTTCACTTGCAACAGTATAATTTTATATATTTTGTCTTATAGTATAATGTTTTTAAATAAAACTAATTTTATATATATATATTTTTTATTTTTTAAATTTGGCAATCCTGCCTTTATTATACTAGGAGTGCGTAATAGATATATAGTTTTCAAACAAAAAGTCTGCAATAAACTAAATGCTTTCCACCCTGCTACTCCTTAATAAAGACTCACTTGGCTGCTTTTAATAATGCCCAAGTGCGATTTGCTGTAGCAATAATTTACTTCTTTTTGGCATCTAATTTGCTAGATAACTCCCCAAAAAAATTACTAAAAGCTTATTGCTAGCTTTGTCAAGATTACCTTTTTCTTAACATTTTTCCTTCTTTAAAGGAGTATATAACAAAAAAGAGGAAAATAGAAAAACAAAACACAAATAAAATAACAACTCTCACTGACGATCTCTTATACCAAAATTTTTAGGAAGAATCCAACTTGAAAAACAAAAAACCTGATATAAAATATATCTGGTTTAATGAACGAAACCATAAGTCAGCATCTATTGTTTAAAAATAGTTCTTATACGCTATCTGCCAGTAGGTTTAGAGTTTATTACTCACTGTAGAGATGGCAACTGTCATTTAGAAGTAGTTCTTATATGCTACTTGCCGACAGTCTTAGAGTTTATCACTCACTGAAAAGAAGAGTTCTTATTGGGTATAGTCAGGCAATATTGTTTTTAGTAACCTCCACTCCTTTGTACTAAAGAGACTAAGTATGTTAAAAAAAAAAAATTTTCACATATCACCTACTTGGCACAGCAACAAAAAATTTGAAAAAAGTGGGCAAAACAGCTTACCTCTATCAAAAGATCAATATTGTTTATAGTTACCAAATTCGGATGATACAGTGGAGTACAACCATGTACCCTGGCCAAATATAGAAACAATGCTACTATTTTGAACCAGACTACTTCTGGAATCTCTCGTAGGAGTTTTGAATACGCATAATAGTGGCGGCAACTACTTTAGGGATGAGACTCAGAGCTGTGAAGGCTAAAAATTTCTGATAATATATGGTGGGATAAAATAAATGTTAAAGCTAAGCTTTACAATAGAAATATGCAAATATTGTTTTGTTATATAATTTTTTTATATACCTGGTATGGGTTATAATAGTGCATGTTATCATCTTGTACGTCAGGACTCTCAGCTTTTTTTTTGCTTTTTTCATCTTAGTTCATTTATGATAGAATTATATTAGATTCTTTTTTGTTTCTTTTTATCTCTTTTTCTTTTGTAAACGTGATATATATGTTCTTGGCTTGTAGAAAAGTAGAAGATAACTATTCTGCCTGGACCTAGGTGGAAAAAGTTTTAAAAAAAAGATGGGTGATTCTGACAAAACATACAATAGCCTATCTGTGATTTGTGGGGCATATCTTAGGATACAAAATCTCGAGCAAGTTTGAAATCCCGTAATTGTCGCAGATTAAAATAAAATCAGATTAAAATGAAACGAGTGACCTCTCTTGCCCCTTTAAAGCTTATAAAATCCACTTATACTCTTTTTTTAATAAACCTAACACTAAACCCTAACTCTAACCCTAAAAAATATCCCCCAAAATTTTTTAAATTATCTCTAAAAAATATTAAAATTTCATTTTAATCTGATTTTATTTTAATCTGTTACAATAATTGTTATAGCAAGTCGTATTGGGTTTGTTGAAACTTGGTGAGTCTTTATTGAGCTAGAACAACAAGTTGTAAAAAAATTTCATATTTGTTCGTACTTGTAGAGATTATACAATAGTTCGCATGAATAAAGGCAGAATTGCTTAAAAAAAAAATATACAAATAAAATAAAAATAACAAAAACAAAGAGAAAAAAGAAAAAACAAAGAAGAATAAAAAAAACAAATACAAATACAAAAGAGAATAAGAAAAGAAAAAATAACAAAAAAAAGAGAACAAAAAAGACAGTGAAAAATTCTGTCTTTTAGCACTATTGTTACCTGTACTAGGCTGATAAAAATTATATAACAAATACAATATTTGTATATTTTTATTATAAAGCTTCACTTTATCATTTAAATTTTCTAACTAGATTATTCAGACTTCTAAATAATGTAAGCAGCCAATCTCAGTATTATGTAAAGCAGCATGGTTTATAAACAAAACAAACTAGACACATAATTGCAATCTGCCAGAACTATTCAGATTTGTAAACAATATTAATCTTTTGGAGAGAGTAAGTCATTTTGCTCACTTTTGTGAGAAATTTTGGAAGAGTGGCAAGAAGGCAAAGAAAAGAGACAAAACACTTTGTTTTGTTTAATAAAAGAGTGTATATTTTCTTGATTTAATATATAGAATCCATAATACCCTATTCAGGGTAAAAAGGCGCAAATATTCTTTTTATTTTTTCGGTAAGTAATAAACAGTGAGTGATAAACTCTGAGAAAGTTAACAAGTAGCATATGAGAACTACCTTTAAAGAACAACTGCCAAGTTACAAAGCTTAAGGACGATTTTCCAGACTGTTTCAACCTCTACAGACACTTGTATTTTTTAAAAATTTTGGATTTTTGTGGTTTTAATTTTATATAAAAATAAATTAATACAATAAAAATATATTAAAATTTTTTAAATAAATTTTTTTAAAACATTAACCAAAAATAATTTAAAAAATTTTTACTATATATTTTTTATATATGTTTTTACTAACAATAACTATAAATACTGTATACTGTATACTATTTATTTAAAACCAAATTTTATATACAGTGTAAGAGTGAGTCAATAGAAATCAAGCAAATTTTTTATAATAGAAAATTTTTATAACTTTAAACAAAAACAACTTAACAAAAACTTTACCAAATTAATAAATTTTTTTTTAAATAATTTTTACAAACTTGTAAAATTAGTTTTAAAAAAAATTTATTAAATTTGATTAAGTTTTCAAAGTTTTAAAAAAGCTTATTAAAAAATACTTGCTTGATTCCTGTTGACTCAACCCCATATTATAATTTTATAATAATTATATTTGCCTATTTACAAAAAAAATTCTTACATATTATTTAAAAAAACTATTTTTTATTATTTTTTTTTATTTCTTGATTTTTTTTCAGTAAGATACAATGACAAAAAATCATTTTGTAAGATTGTTTTTCCATTACGATAATTAGTGACAGAATCTAATTTTGATCTTTTAGACGTAGCAAAAGTTTTACTGTCGTCCTCATCTTCATCTTCCGATTTATTATCCTTTGTGTAGTTTAAATTATCAACATCATTATATACATTTTTTTGTATTAATTTACGTTTTAGCTTCTTTTCAGAAGTCGCCTTATATTTAAGGCCGCCACTTCCACCAACCCTATTCATTTATACAGAAGGTTAAATAAGACAGCACTTTGCACATAAGTCCAGTTCAAAAAATAGAGATTATAGGATTTCACCTAGTTGCATGTAACTCCTGTATTGACTTTGTCAATTGATTTTCCCGTTTTCGTTCTTCCTCTTCTTCTTTTTCTTGTTCACCAGGGTCAAGTGGTGGTAACCAAGAGTCGACTACAGAAGAAACCAGGTCAAATGAAACATCAAGTTTAGTTTTTATAACCTCTAATTCGTTAAGACGTTCTTCTGAACTCGACATAGTTTTAACAGTTAAGACAATGACGAGAAATTATGTACATCGACATTATATAAATATATGCAAGCTTTTATATTATATTGCAATCTGATTGGCCAGCCCATAGTAACACTATATTTATAAGAGTTAGTTTAACCTAAATTTTTTTAGACTCCTGAAATAATGTCGCGTCAAACTGATGGCAAGGAAAACGCGCTAGCAAAGTATAGTCAACGAGTGAGAACGCCGGTAAATGCGTTACGCGACATAACCAATAAAACACCACAGATTAAGACAGTTAGACATAATAAAGATGGTTATATTGGCACACCAGCAGTAGCATTCACAAAGCAATCAAAAAGCTCATTAGATCGAACGAAATTAAAAGAAAATGACATCACAAAACAACAAAATTTAAAATGCACAGTAGAGAATCTAATAATGAAACAAAGCGAGGAGGAGGCTGATGTGCCTGAAATTGAATATTGTCCTTCACCAATTAAAGGTTTGTAGAGGTCTAGGTGGATTTATTTTGAGGTGGTAAAGTATAATTACAAAATTCTCTTAAAGAAATACCCTATGAACCATTGGATGAAGACCTTAAGTTTGATTGGGAACCATTACGACAACTGCCTAGTGTTACTGCGTACGAGTTTGAAAATATAAAGTATGATGAATTATCATTTCCAGAGATTGATCCAGATGATTATCGATCCAGGGAGGTTATGGATGATTATGGCAAGTAAAAAATAAGATTTTTACGCGTTCACTTATATAATTATATAATCTAAATTTCTAACTTATAAACGGGTTTAAAGAATTATACGAATTTGACAATGTTGTATTCACCGATTACGATCTGGGAGATGAGAATATGAATGATTATGAGGTTTTTCAATTTAAAAAATCTCGTAATTAATTAAATAAATAAATAGAAAAATATAAGTTTATCTGCAATTAACCCTCGCATTGCTTCGGGTATTATATTAAAATTTGATTTTATTTGAAAAATATCAAATTATTAATATTGTAATTTGGAATAGAATCATAATAGATTAAGAATCTATTTATTAGAATGAAATAATTATACCTAAAAATCCCAACTCTAACCTTAAAAATTCCAAATCAATTTAAATTCTGTTTTAATACTGCATATAGTATATAGTGCAAAATTTAAAAACCATACTATATATATATATATAATTGGCCATATATTAAACATGAATTAGAAGTTAGCATGTGTGCTTTTAGATTTTATCACATATCACATCTATTTTATAGGCAGACTGTGCTCATTTTGAAATAAGTGATATGACAATATTTAATATCAATGATGCTTTTGCATTGATTATTTATGGTTTCTGTTAGAAAAATAATTACGTAAATCATATGACCAAAACATGTAAAAATCTGACGAGATTAAAAGTTGTTGGAATATCAACAATTTTGTTACTGTTGATCCTGGTATTCGTACTAGTTCGTACTAGTTGACTGGTTTGTCGCATTGATGATCTTTGGTATTCACCATCAAAGAGCCTCGGTTTGTCTGGTAACCGAGATGTCAATCCAAACATACATTTTACCTTTAAATAAACTCATCTCGGACTACCAACTCAAAAAAAAAAGTTCATTTATGCTGTCGTATTAGATAGATAAGAAAGCCACAATGTGGTTTCTATTCGTATAGTTTATTCATACCTTGTTTTCAATGCCGATGAATTGGGTAGAAGGATGATCATTAACAAAGCTTACGCTAATCGCTAATAGATCAGCTGCGGATTTATTAAAGCAATCTTTGACGAAAAAAGTGTTTAAGAGTAACGATTGATAGGGGAGAATAATTGTATCAAGGAATATTTCCTGAGGGCTTTGCTTTGATGAGGCTGTTTTATGCAGTGAACTTATTGTATGCATGTATATAATTGATTGTTTTTTATATGGCATTCCCTTATATTATAATAACAATCAATTTAAATCCATCCGATATTAACTTTTATTAATAATAAACCGTAGCCACATGAAAATGAAGGATTTTTTAAATTACCTGCTAAACTTTCTAAGCTACCTTTGCGCTATAATGTGCGCGAATGATACGACTAATATATAAATAACGATCGACTAATAACGATTCAAATAATGTATATGATCGACCGAACCGTCTCTAAAACAATTAACGGAACAGATCCAGATCTAGAAAATCGACCCTTCTTTTCAATACTTTTTTTTAATAATATTATTAATAATACTGACGAGGAAAAATTTTTTTTTTTTTTTTTGAGATTTTCGTTAAAATCAGCTGACGATATTTGTTCTTGCTCTAACCTTGGCCACTAACTTGTTTGATTGCCATCAATGTACCGGGCGGGAACACGGAAAAGTGAGGCGTGCCAGTTTAACAAAACCTATATCAGTCATTAATGGTCATTAATGTATGAATTCGTTGTAAATGAAAGGCGTGGTTTCCGTATTCGTTAGCCACAAATGGAAATTAAATGAAGGGACAATATTAAGAAGATGATAAAGTATAAAAAAGCCCCTGTTCTTTTCAAGCTATGATATAATTTTGGGGCTTTGAACTTTATATTTTCTTTTTTTTTTTTTTTTTTTTTTTTTGTACTCTGATTAATGCTAAAAGTTTCGCAAGTGAAATTAATTAAAAATTTCGCGTGTAATTAATGTTATGATAATTAATGATTCGAAAGTGTATAGCCTGTTTTTCAATAAAAATTTTTTGATGATATAAAAATTTTTTAGCAGGAGAAAACGCGAGATCAGATGCATATAATTCAGTAACACATTTTAAATATTTTTATTATAATTTTCAACATAAATGATAACTACGATACATAGTCCAGTTCGTACTTCATTGGATTCAAAACCGAGTAAGAATGGAGCAAAACATTTTGAAAATAAACCACGTAGAAAATCTACATCAGATGTTGGAACTCAAACAAATCTTAAACCAACTATAGAAGAATCCTCGACAATATGTGATAAAGAAGGATGTTTAGCAGCATGTAAATCATTTTTTCGACAATGCAAACGATTATTGAATCTTCTCAAATATCTTCGACTTGCTCTGGTGTTGACTTTGTACACCCTTATTTTCGTGGATGTGATTCATATAATTACAAAAGTTCCTAAAGTTTTTTGGATAGAATGCCTATTACAGGTGATAATGATATAATTGATTAAAATAATTAATCGTAGGATGCTATTTTTTTAATTTAAATTATTAAATGTGTGTAGGTCATAAATGCCGGATTTACTATTTTTACATTATTCTTACATCCAAAAAGAATAGCCAATTTTTTAAGAGCAGTTAAAATATATAGAGCAAATCTAAAAAGCCGTCGACAACTTGGTTATGATTATCCTCCTCTTGATATTAGAGATGCACAAAAAAGTGTTCACAAAGATTATGAATGGTATATCTTTGAAGGTGATAAAGCTTTTATTTGTCCACCGGGAAAACTGTTGACAGTCCTCATCTTTTGGAATGTAGGTAGTTTAGCACAATACGGTATTTGCGGTAAGTTCATTATTTAATTATTTTAATTATTTAATTATTTTAATTATTTTAATTATTTAATTATTTTAATTATTTTAATTATTTTAATTAATTATTTTAATTATTTTGATAATTGTTAATTTTTTTTTTTCAAATGATAATGATTAATTTTTTTTCCTAATAGCTGTTTTATGGTCCACACAAAATCGACCTATAGTAATATATCTAATGCTGGATATCATTGCTTTGATATGTGAAATTGTACCAATCCCTTTAGTAGTAGTACAATCAAAACGTGCGAAGTTGGCACAACAATTTGCATCTTTTGAAACCGGTCAACGACGATTATTAAATCCAAATCCAAGATATCGTAGGTCTATAGCTTTGTAAATTTGATCCAAGTTTATATTAAATCTGGTGGGCAATAGGAGGATTTCTTTATTTTATTATATTTTTTTTTGTTGTACTTTTATTTAATATTTTCGCATAGGACTGTTAAATGGCTGCAATTGATTCTCTTGAAATTGTACTGATAAAACCGATAATACAAAAGATTGGAATTTTATAATTTATTTTTTCTTTTTTTTTTTAATATCTTGGTAATTTAATCTGAACTAAGAATCAATACAAATCAAATAGATTATTACATTAAAAACTAACAAACCTTTTTAATATAGAGAGAAATAGAGAAAAATAGATTTCTTGATTAAATAAAATTCGGTAATAGCTTCTACGTACGTACTTGTGACATACTGTATCCTACACGTGAAATAACTAAATACTAACGCTAATGTGAGATGCATTACGTATTAGTTATTATCGTTCATGTTCAGGATCTAATGTTTTCTTAGTATAAATTCTGGTTTCGTATAATAAGAGGATAAATCCGGATGTTAACTATGTTAATTCTAAACAAGGCATATTTCAATGATTCATTCTTCCCTTTCACATTTAACCCCTTATATACTCGTCCTATGAAATTAATTCTTGATTAAACTCGATTTTATAATGATCCTGATTTTTGTGTCGCGTTGTCACACGGGAGTAATTATTTGTAATTTTCCATAACAAGGCTTTACATTCTCAGGCAATGTTCGGATTAAATTCTTTATACTATTTGGTAGAAGGTGGTAAAATACTTTTTTAATAAAATAAAAGGCGATGCTAACGTTAGTCCTGCTTTGTTCTTAATGCAGTAATGCGAACCAACAAGTATTATAATGGATAATAAAACAGCCTGCCTTTTTTTTTTTTTTATTTTCGGATGGTATATTTTTTGTCATTATTAAAAGAAATGGCGCAATGTGTCAATGTGGTTTTCATTTGTTAAAAAATGTACTCTACACTGAATTTTTGGGCAAACGTTAACATTCAATCTAGTTGCTTAAGTTTTTCAACCTTCTTGTTGTGGATAATGAATAATCTTGTCTCTCTTTTTTCTTTTTTCTTTTTCTTTTGACGCTACTAAAAGAAAAAGAAAAGGTGCTATTAGGACTCTATATAAGGTAAATATGGGCAAGGTTGTTAATTGAAAACGTTCAAGGGCAATAATATATACCGATCTTCTATAGTATAGGTGTAATGCTAAGCGAAAAATTGGTTGTGATACATAATTAAATTTGATCTTCGAGAATCATGATAAGTACGTACGTACGTACGTAATCAGATCCAGCATTTATTCTTGGATCAGATTTTAAATGCAAGGCACCGAAATCATATGGAATGTTACGGTATAGAGAATATTAACACTAACATATCTTTATATTTCAGCATATTAGCTGGATAGGGTTGGGGATGTTTTATAGAAGCATAGTTGCTTTTCTAATGTTTTTTTATTAATATAAACATCCAATTAAATCGATGCTGTGCCAAATTTTTTTTTTTAAACTTTGAATGAAGATATCTTAGCAACTACCTAATAGAATTCAATGTAATTATTTTTATTTCATTCTACTAATTATTAGAATTAAAGTAAAAAAATTTTTATCGAATTCTATTAGGTGGTTGCTGAGATATCTTCATTCAAAGTTTTAAACATTCACCTAAATTGATGCAATCACATGTATACGTATTTCAATAATTATTTATTTCATTGAAATGCAAAAACATTAATGAATTGTTGAACTTTATAAAAATTTAAATACATGTAGGTAAGCATTAATTATTTATATTATATTTTTATTTACTCTTTTAGATTAAAATGCTTTATTTATTTTTTTTTTATTCCTTCTACTATATTTATCACCTTGGCCCCAGGAACTGCTTTGCCTACCCATATTTATTTATCATTATAGGCCATAGGGCTGCTTTACCTGCCCACCCATATTTGTTCATCATTCTAGCCCATAGAGCTGCTTTGTTCTCCCACCTATATTTGTTCATTATTCTAGCCTATAGGGCTGCTTTACCAGAACCCGAAGATCTCCAATACAACTTACAGTAGATCTAAGTTTGTATAAAGTTTGTATAAATTTGGCCAAATAAATATATAAAATAAAGCAAAATTTAAAAATTTACTACCGTATAGCACTGCCTATAGTACCCCCTGATAAAGTACCACCCTAGTATAGTATCGGGGTACTATTCAAAAAAAAATTTCTTTTAAATTAAATAGTATCTCGGTACTAATCAGTCACCTGAATATTCGGCAAGTGCGATTTTATTAAAATGAATGGTCTTATCATATTCCAAAAAATTATTTTTATTTACGCGTATATCTCATCCAAAGTTCTAGATATTTATGTTTCTTTTTTTTTTCTTTGCAATTTGATTATTTTAGCAAAGTTACAAAATTTTCTTTAAAAAAAATTTTTGGCTTTATTTAAATGGCAAGTATTTTTAACTTGACTTAAATAGCAAGTTTAGAACAAAATCGTTACTGGGTCTGATTTTACGAGTACATTTAAAATCTTTTTGTTTCAAGCAAAAGTAGATATGAAATTTATTTATTTCTCAATCATGGCATATTTAATGCTTAAATAAGAATATGTACTCATTCATCGTCCTATATATTTGGATAATTTTTTTCGTTTTCATCATAATAATTAAAATCATCACTAAGGTCGATTTCTTCTATATCATTCTTTTCATTATTATCGTTATTATTCAAAAATTCTACATTGTGACTTATTTGATTTAATATTTCAAGACTTTCATAATTAAAAATTAATTCATCTTCAGACTCATTTCTATTGTTAGAAATACCACAACACTTGAATGATCGATCATTGAATCAAACCCATGTCAACTGCATTCCACGAAGTATTAACCCAGTTTATAATGGTCTTATAAGAGGGTCTCTTAATTTTACTAGTAGATGTTAATTGCTTTATTAATTCAGCTATCTACTCATTATAATGTTTTTGTATCTTATTAACAAACAATAAATAAGTAAATAATAATTTTTTAAAAAAAAAGATATTCTTACTTTAGTTTTGAAAGATTTATTTATCGAAACATCTAAAGGCTGCAAATGCTTTGTTAGTCCCCCTAGAATAACAGCTAAATTAATTCTTTTTTTGTCAAATCAACATTTTACAGAATCAACTATATGTGCTTTAAATGAGTTCAAAACAAGTAGAGACCGTGGATTAGAGCATGGTGCACGTTTAACCCAAACATTTTCAACTCAATAAAGCATTTCTTCTTCATTCATCCATCCTGAAGAATTAGCTTGAACAACTACTCCAAATGGGAAATTACCATGGGGAATATTCTTAAGCTTAAAGATCACAGTAGGAGGAAGCTTTGTTCCATTAGCCATGCAACTCAACACTACAGTAAAGTTAGAGTTTTTGTGTCCTGTTGTTTAAATACTAATAGATCAGGCACCCAATTCATCAACTGTAGTATTACTCAGAAGATCAAACACCATAGGCATTTTGTCCATATTACCAATAAATTCTAATGGATAATCATTTTGTATACATCGATAAATAACAAAAAATAAAAATTGGTTTTCTTGTTTAATTAGATCTTTGGGCAGATGTTGTAACCTATGTAATTATACCACAAAAAATTTTCTGGTCACATGACTTTATCGTGGCGCAAACCAATTGAATTTCAGGATCAGGTGTAATGTAAAAATTACGCTTTTTATATTTTTTTTATAAAAAATCACTAAAAACTCAAAAATTTGTCTATGAAATCATCTTCTGCGCATTAACAAAAAAAATTCCTTGCAAATTTTTGATAATAGCAACGCTTTAACAAAGTGTTTAACCCAAACCTTAACTCTCAATTTATTACTTTAATTCTTTTGTTTTATTCGATTGTTTTGATTGTTTTGATTTTCACGTTACACCTGATCTCGAAAAATAATTGGCTAGTGCCATAAAAAAGCCACATGACCGGAAAATTTTTTGTGGGTGAGCTACTAACGTCTATCAAACCACCTACACCATCGTTTCACATTTCTAATGTGATCGGAAATTATGTGATCGTTTTTTACAGCATGGAATATGGAGCTTTATTACGGTTTATACGTCCATTTATACCTATATACTGTTAATAACCACTTTTGTAGACTTTATGATATTAATAATTCTGAATATAATCATTCGATCTTAACTAATCATCCGTCCTCAACTCAAGTAGTCCAAGTTCTGGTAATGGTTCGTCGAATAAATTTAGTATTAATACTGGCGCATTGATTGGAGAGCATCCTTGGGTAGTATTTTTGATCAATTTTTGCGTTGATTATTTATTGATGGTAGAAGAAACATGTTAAATTAAACATATATATTTTATATTATTTAATAAGTACTGTATTATAATGTATATATATACTTTATATTAAATAAAAGATCGATTTCTATAAAATCTCTTAACTGGTAAATATTGGAGATACTTTTGTCCTGGTACTTAACGTCTTGGTTAGATTCATTCACATATGAAAAAATTTAAAAAGTCAAGCTAAGGCGGAAAAATATAGAAAAATTGGTTAATTGAAGAACTCTATTATTAGAATTAAAGAATAGAAGAATACTACTGCAAAAACTAGTTATATATATATTTTTTCAAGATAATTCATACTATCTTTATCACGAACTTGATTATTAATCTCGTATTTTCTGCATGTGTGAACTTCGTGCGAAGGAATATTATTGAGTATAATAGAATGTGTCCACATCTCCCGTATGACATTCGTGGTACTGCAGCATGAGTTAACTAGTGAACCCATAATTAAGAGTGTTGAAAACAAAAGTGGTTCGTACCTAAATTTAGATAAGATTTGCTCAAAAAAATTTTTTCTTTTTTGATTATAATTCATACTTTTTTTTTCCAGTAAATTCATTCTTTTTAAGATTTCAAAACCACGGTACAATTGTGTGAAAGACTATGAAAATTTGTAATGTACGGCATGTTGAAATTATTAGCTATAATATAGTGCGAGATGCCATTAAGCAACAATAAACGTTTTTGAGAGACTTTGTAAAGTTACTTATAATTAGCACCAATTGTAATTTGTCAGTCAGAAATATTCATATGACCACTTAGAACGAACTTTTATAGAATCTATCAAAGACATTGCTCGTCTATAGTAAAACTTACAATGAATATTTTTTGATTAGAATACTAAAGACAAAGAAATAAGCATTTTAGGTTTATACGTTGATCTGACATTCTGAGAGAGAAGATTATTGTGTATATACGACGCTGATGAACGCACAACACCGTTGAATTTAATACATATACAGTATTTATTAATTAAATAGTATAATCAATTAAAAATTAGGCTGATTTTATCCATTGCAATATTTGATGTCCCCAAAAAATTTTTTAACAAATTTTTAAAATAAGAAATTCTTTATTTCCGTTTTATTCATTTTAATATCATTGCCATACATATTAATAAATCGCATAGCAATATTTGTAAACGTATTATTATCTATAGACTTTCTAATGTCTTTAAAGAATTGCAAATAATGGAATATATTATGACTATTAATAGAAAATAAAAATATTTATTAATAAAGTTTGCAAAATAAACCTATTTTAATTAAACAAAAATTCACAAACCTCATCAATAATACAGTAGCAAGCATCTCATGAGTGTCTAGTAAATGATAGATATATGCCCTTGTATGATTCTGGCATGCATAACATTTACATCCATCTAAAATTGGTCTAAAATCTGTTCTATATTTATTATCCCAAAGATTTATGAATTTTTCTTGTTCATTTTGAATTCCATTTTCAAGTATCAAAAATGTAAGTCCATGTCCTAAAGATGTTTCTTCTGAAGGATAACTTGTATCAAATATATCAATTCCCTCGAAAATACCAAGAAGAACATATTCTAAAAAAAAAAAAAAAAAATCAAAATTATTAATGAAAATATGTATTATTATTTATGAATTTGATATAGGTATTAACAATGGTCAAACCTGGAGCCCCAAGACCGTATGCTACACGAGGCTTATTTTTTGGTAGATGGTTGAGTGAGATTTTCATTAAATCTAAACGTTCTTTTGAAGTCATGTCTAGATCCAGTCCATTTAACACAAAGCCTGTATTATAAGAGGTGACAATTAATGATAGTGATTTATATAAAATTTTTAAAATACTAAATCGATGTGATATTGCTCACCGGCTACATTTCTACTTGCAGTCTCTTGAGCTGATCTCACACGTTCTTCATGTCTATCATGTCCAGTTACAACACCAAATACATGGATCCCTTCCTTTTAATTATTACCACGTACGTCATTAGTTATTTAATTTATATTTAACAAGTTAAAATATGAAATATTTTATGAATATACTTCTGTTTTTTCCAAGGTTTCATCTAACCAATTTAATGTTCTATCGACGGATTTCTTAACCCTTTTCAAACTTGGATTCTTGACAGATATTAAATCCGCCATGCTAGCAAATATATCAGGATTATATATATTCATGTATCTTACATATTCTTCAGGAGTAACCTTTGAAAAAAAGTTGTTTCATTACTCGTTATTAATAAAATAAATTAATCATCCGCCAAAAAAAAAATAAAAGTAAAAACAAAAATTTTACTTTACGACATCCTTGATCAGTAACAACGGAAACAAATTTATCAGTATTGAATGAAATATGTTGTAATTTTCCAGAGTCTCGAACATCAAAAAACAATAAATAATCTTCAAGATTCAAAAATTTATGTATTCCACCCACAAAATGAGTTGAAGGTGGAGGCTGCGCCTCAAGACTAAATGTTTAAGTTAGAATAAATACAATGAGATATAAAATGAGTACAATGAGATTCCTTTATTTTCAAAGAAAAAAAAATAAAGTTGATGTATACAAATGCTCCAGAGTTATCCCCAATGCATCAACCGGAATAGTTTGTAAATTATCGGGAGTTAAGTGTGGTACGGAGCCTCTCATTGTATATACAAACCAATTTGGTGTATCCAATATTTTTTCATGTTTATTTCTTGAAAAAATCAATTTGCCCAAACGAAATCGTGGATCAATAGTTTTTAATAGATTGAAGGAAAACCCCGACATTTCAAAATTTGGATCAAATTGTAAAAGTCATTAATTTATGTATGATTATTTCATTGTGTGACAAGCAAATAAGTATTTCTAAAAAAAACGGATATAACAAAATGTTTTAACATTAATAATAAAAAATCATGTCAAATAATATTATAAGATTGGTATTATACAAATTTATAAAATAAATAATATTTTATCTTATTTAACAAGCAAATTTCATATTTAAATGATTATAATAATACAACACTTGAAATAACATCTTTTGCTTCTTGTAAACCTTTTCCCGAAATATTAGTATTTACTTCACTGATCTTTAACTTTTTCAAACCACCAACTTTTCTCGCATATTTAGTGATAGATTCTAAAACTCTATCATCTAATAAATAATTATATAATTCTATAGTATATAAAGCAACACCACAATTTCCATATTCTTCAAAAAATAATCGTAATCCTTCATTAACAATTCCAAGATCCATTCCCAAATGTAAAAGAGTTTTCGGAAGTGATATGGCTAATTTTTGCATAAAATTAGGTGTTAACGCAGAACTATCAAATTTTGATTCTAAATAAAGAAATTCAAGTTTTGAAGAAGATAATAAAGGAAGAAGTTTTTCAAAAGATGTAGTATATAAGGTTAAAGAAAGTTTTATAATATTTGGACAATTTTGTTGAATTTCTTCTATTAATTCATCAGTAGAATCCCCTAATATAAGCTCTCTTAAATTCTTATTTGCCATACGAATAATTATTGTCATTGTTAAACTAAATACCGAAGATTTTGAATAATTCTCACAACAAGAAAATTTTTCTAATTTTATTTCTTCAGAAATTGTAGAATTGAAAGGAATATAAAAAGGTGTATAACCATCTTCAACAAAAAAATCTAAAATTTCTAAAGATTTTAAAGATTTACAAGATTTTAAAAATTCTAAAAAAATTGAAAAATTTCTAAACCTTTTAATTCCAAGATATTTTAAAGAATGAGATTGAGTTTTTAAAGCTGTATAAATCCATTGAAAAGTTGAAGGATTTTGAAATTCCCAAATAGTAATTTCTTCAAGATAATTTTGAATTTCAATTAATTTAAATATATGTCGTAAAATTTCTGGTTGACAATCTTGAAAATCATTAACAATAGAAATTTTGTTTAAATTTCTGGAATGTTTGGATAAATGAGCAACAAGTTTTATATATCCTTGATAAGTTTCTGGTGCATCTTTTCTTTGAAGGAATAAATCTATTTTTGAAATTGAAGAAAGTTTTTGATTTATTTTATCAATGTTTGGAAGTAAAGTAATGTCAAAGAATAACCGCATTATAGGACTATTTATTACTAAATGATGGAGAGTGTCTGTGGATTGAATTAAAAAATTTACTAATATTTGAACAGTAAAAGATACTAATTGATAATCTTCGATGTTGTTGACTGTGGTAACTGTGGTAAGATATTGCTTTACTCCATTCTGAAAATTTGATAAATCTAATATTCGTAAATATTTCGGATAATTGAATAATAAATGATCCTTATTTGAATATACTTTTTTCTGATCCAATATATTAAGAGAAGTTTTTTCTGTAGGTATTTCCGGTAGAATTCTTTTGTTTTTAGATCTAAGCATTTGCTTCTCAGCGATGGGAAGACATGAAATATAAGTTTTAATGATCATAGAAAATCTTTTAACATTAATATGATATTCAAATGGTCTACTCCATAGTGATCCTATCGCTAGTTTACACCATAATCTATTTACCAATATGCATGAGAATAAAGATGAACGATGATCCACTAAATGATGGATTATTTCTTCAAGACAATCGATCGTTAGTGACGATGGGATATAAAGGTTTGACATTTTTTTGTCCTTAAAAGGTAGAGTAAAAGTTGAACGGTTACTTTTATTACATATACGCATGTATATACGTACGCACGTATCAGGTATGTACTGTACGTACATACGTACGTACGCATCAGGTATGTACATACGTACGTACGTATTAATAGTTTTTTTGTATTATCTTTATGTAGTACATAAAACGATTACCCCTATTATTAATGCCAACTGAATTACAAATTTCGTCATTTAGACTATATTATTAATATATGCAGTTATTTTGAAAGTCTTGTAAATTTCATTCGAATAGTAAACTTTACTGTATATTGGTATGTATTTTTTCTTTCAAAATGCTTGGCAAAATTTACATACAGTAATAAAAATAATATCCATATTGCCAAACCCGTACTTTTGAATTGATTTTTAGTACTGGCCACTATTCACGAACCGAATGGTTTTATTGGTGAAGAAGGGTACCTTACATGGTGGGATATTACTATATACAGTGGTAAACGGTAATACAAGTTTGTAATTGATCCAAAAATAATAATACTAAAGCAAATTTTTTAATGAGTGGAAGCTTAGGTGCAATAACGAATTTATGTTATTCGTGATTTT